AGAAGCAGGATTAATCTGCTCCTCATGAAACAGACAGCAAGTCTGAACCAGAAATTAGATCCAGCAGCCAGGGAGATGGCTCAGTGGATAAAGCACTCACCTCACAAGTGTGAAGACTGGAGTTCGGATCCTAAGAGCCAGACATGGCTGCTCATGCACCTTATCCCAGCGCTCCTACCATAAGAAGGAGGTGGAGACAGGAGAATCCTGTGTCTCCTTCCACAACACAAGTGACCAAGGCTAGGGGGACAATATTATCCTTGGAAAGCCTGGTATGCACAAGAAAAGGGGTGGGGTGAGGAAGTGGGAGAGCTCCACCCCAGTAATGAGAGTCCCGCAGGGCAATGGTCCCTGAGGGCAGGAAGCAGATTCTGGACACGGCAGGGTTGAGGGGAGTGGGCATTGACGGCCGGATGCCCAGAAGGGCTAAACCAAGTCAGTGGCCGCCACTAAGACCATGAGCTCGTCTCCGGGGCCACAGAGGTAATTTAGTGTCTGTCTCCAGAAGGCCTTGCATTTATCAGCAGCAGCTGCCTGGATTGTAAATCACAAGGCTCTAGGTATATTCCTCTGAAGCTGACATCCACTTATAAATAACTTGGAGAACATTCTCAGGCTGTGGGAGAAGTCTGCTTTCTCCCTCTCTTCTGTTTTTACAATGACCTTTCTTCTCAGCCAAACTGGAAGTGTCCAAGAGGCTCAATTATTGAGCCCTGCCAAGTGCTGGGTAAAAGGAAGCCAGGTGTTCAGAGTCGGGACACTGGGATGAGTATGTGACAGCACTTCAAGTTTAAAATACCCCCTTCAGAGAATCATTGCATAAGGACCTGTGTCTGTTAAAGCCTGATAGGTTAACAGCGAGTGTCTGAAAGTGCCCCCAAAATTTGAAACAGGAACACTAGTTAAATAAAGCAGGAGAGGACTTAAGATCATTGCAGGGATTTAAGAGGCTGATATAGAACTGTAGGTCCTTGTAAAGAAAGATCCCTGAGATCTGTTATGGAAGGAGACACACATTGAGGATTCAGGGATAGCATATCTTCTCTCTCTCTCTCTCTCTCTCTCTCTCTCTCTCTCGATCTCTCTCTGTATCATCTATCATCTGTCTATCTATCTGTCTATCAATCTATCTATCATCTATCTATCTGTCTATCAATCAATCTATCTATCTATCTATCTATCCATCTATCATCTAATGTTTATAACAATTCAGAGAAAGGTGTGGAAGGGCATGTACCAGACCAAAGAGGGGTGGGTCCCTCTGACATGAGAGCTGAGGTTAGGAGATGGGGGCAGAGTTAGTCTTCTGCGGTATTCTGAGTGTTTAAGTGTGTGCAGTGGGAGGAATGATCATACACATCCGTGTATAACATGATTCCCACTTGAACTTCATATTGTGCTATGAAAAGATGAATCATTTTATCTTCATCTACACAAAGAGAAAACAAGTCTTTATCTGAAGTGCAGATTATGATCTGCCCCTCTTAACCTCTTCTGACAGCATTCTCATTAACATGATAATCATATTTATTCTGTGTTATTCCCCCCGCCTTTTTTTCCCTAGTGGAGACTTCTTTTAAAACTCTTGGCTTAGACATTTTAAATCCAGCCACAGATATTTCTCTGAAATTGGGCTTAGGAGCCTTGAGATTTAGTCCTTTGAGGGATAAACAAATTTAAAATTTACACTGGAGCACTAAGAGAAGTTGCCAGGAATGCAGGTCAAGAACGTCACTGCTCATATGCAGGGGCAGCACGCTAACTCCATGCCAGTAGAAAAGGTGCGATCGCATCAGGGTAATTCGCATAGTCATCTTTTTAAGCATCGGTTTGTAGATCTTGAGAAGGGGGTGTGATGGTGAGTACAGTGGACTTGACAGGATCTAGAATTCGCCGGGAAGAAGGGCCCCTGGGTATGCTTGTGGGGGATTATCTTGATTCCCTTAAGTGACCTGGGAAGTGCCATCTTAACTGTGAGCAGGACTTCCCCTGGAGATCCTAGACTGTGTAAATGGAAGCTGTGGAGCACTGGCATGCAGACACCCATCTCTGCTTCCTAACTGTGATCACATGTGACCACTGCCTACAGCACCTGCTGCTGTGACTCCTCCACAGTGGTGGGAACCTGGAACTGAGCTGTGACAGTCTTTCTTCCTTAAGTTGCTTTTGTCATAGAATTTTATCACAGCAACATAAGAAATTGAGACATATGGGGGTTGGGGGAACCCCTGAATGATTTCTACAGTTGAAAAGAGCCAGAAGTGGACTGTATGGAGCTCGGTGGTAGAGTCCTCACCTGGAACGCACAAGGCCCTGGGTCCTATCCCTGGTACCTGACCTCTGAGCCAGTCTTCACGGTATGATAATGTCCTTTGCAGACCTCTCTTTCCCCATCTTTAAAATGGACACACAACTAGATTTCCCCAGCAGTCTCTTCTAGTTCGGGACATGTAGAACTTTCCATTACAAACATGTTCAAAGGACAGGGTTCCTGTACCTCAGGGCTTCACGCTCTGGGTTCTGGCTCTCAGCAGGCACTTACCCAACCCCTTTTGACTGAGTGCTGAGTATTGAATGATGATCCTCAGGCAGTTTTAACATGAATGATAGTCTGGGTTGATGCTGAAATTATTTGCCAAGCAAGTGATCCACCCTGAACTTGTCAGAGAGGCATAGCCATGAGGCACTTACAGATATGGGTTTTGGAGGGATTTGAACCTCTGTTCAAAGTTGACCCTCCCTCTTATTAGCTGTGTGACACTTATTGTCCCTCTCTGAACCACAGCAAAACTGAGCTATCCACGAATGCAGCTCATATTTCTGCTCAAGCTCTGTGCCATGGCCAGTTTTTCACTCACTTAGCAAATATTTATGGAGCATGTGTGAGCCAGCCCCAGGAAGGCCCACACAGACAAGGCCCCTTCTCACAAATCTGTGAGCCCTTGCTTTGCTGCCTGAGGTCCCAATCTTCACTACAGCTGACGTGACCCAGAACCCCCAGGGGACAGGGAAGGGGTCGGGGGAGTTATTCCGGAGGATGGTTCTTGGGGCAGCTGACTGTGCACCATGCACTGACCACCACACCTCGCCCTGTCCTGTGTAAACAGGTGCCAAACATTTCAGTGTACAAGTGATGGGTGATGGATCCCCCGCATACAGCTCAGTATACCTTAACTACACAACCCAAACCTTGTATGAACGAGCATTCACTCTCTGCCCCTCTTGACCGCTCCACTGTGGACAGTGGGCTCAGTAGTAGAGAGGACATGTCCTCATCGTCACAGTGTGCTGGATTCTTTCTCCACACCATCCTTTGTGTGTAAGAGCAGTCACCAGATAACCAGACCCTTGTGAGCACTCCAGATACCTCGTTCTTAGAGCCCCCTTTTGATATTTTTTGCATTAGATTTTTCACCTGAGAGGTTCCGCAAATAGTCACCATTTGCTGAGTGTGCCCCCAAAGTCAACATGGACTCCCCCGCTTCTTCCTGTTGAGACGACCCCTACTCCATCCTGTGGCAGTGTGGGCCTGTCAGTTTGTTCAGCATGTCTGTGGGTTTTCTATCAGTTACTTGGTCCTTTGTCACCATGGTAGCAGTGAGTGTTCCATCTTAATTACCCATCTGTTGGACCCATCAATTTTGATTCATGGACATTAGGTCCTGATTCCACAAGGGTTGACCTTGAAAGGAAAAATAAGCGAGCCCCAAAAAATGAGGTTGAAGAGAGAGGGCAAAGGGATGAGATCATGCCACTGAGGATGAACTGTGACATCCGTTTTGGGGGGTCCTGCTACTGGTAAGCACATGCATCTGAGGGTGTCCTGTTCCCAAACTGAACTGAATCAACCTCCCCTGTTGTAAGGACATTGTAAAATATTTCTTTTTTCTTTTTCCTTCTTTTTTTTTTTTTTTTTTTTGAGACAGAGTCTCCCTGTAGCCCCAGCTGGCCTAGAACCTATGATATAAACCAGGCCGGCCTCAATCTCACAGAGATCCATCTGCCTCTGCCTCCTGAGTGCTGGGATTAAAGACATGCAACCACCACACTGGGAAATATCTTTTTTCCCTTAAGATTTATTTTTAATTATGTGTATGTGTATGCCTGTGTGCCTGTGTGTATGTGTGTGTGTGCCTCTGTGTGTGTGTGTGTGTGTGTGTGTGTGTGTATACACATGAGTTCAGGTGTCTGCAGAGGCTAGAAAAGGGTGTTGGATCCCCTGAAGCTTGAGTTGCAGGTGGCTGTGAGCTGCTCAGTGCTGATGCTGGTGACCAAACTTCAGTCCTCTGCAAGAGCAGCAAATTTTAATCACTGAGTCATTGCTCTAGCCCCAAGATTGTAACATCTGACATTCAAAGACAAAATTTTTCAGTGAGAGACCCAGCTTAATTATCCATCTATCTATCTATCTATCTATCTATCTATCTATCTATTTATCTATCTATCTATTATCTATCTATATCCTGTTTTCTCATGTAGAGATAGTGACTTCAAACTCTTTGGCTCAAGCAATCCTCCTGCTTCAACCTCCAAATCAGCTGAGGCAGCAGCCTGCACCACCATGCCTTGCTTTGGTTCAACTTTCTTTATACTGACTCTATTCAAAACAAGTATGGATATAAAACAAAACTGGAATCTGACCATGCTTATTTACAAATGAATGTAATGCTGATATTACATGCCTTAAACAGAGAGAGAGGCAACAGTTGCATTGTTCTCTGGGTTCACAATGTGCTGTTTAAAATAACTGAAAAGCCATGTTTTGTGGGGTCTGCATTAGAGCCTCATTGTTTCCATTGTTCAAGTCAGGAAATAACATATGCCCCGTTCTTCAGACACAGAGAGGACAAGTGTGACTCCTAAAGGGGTAGGTTCTGCCACAGTCTTTCAGGACCACAACTGTCCCTGCTAAAGCCCATAAAGTGGAAGACAAGAGGATCAACCTGCCAGTCTGAGAACGTTTGAGCTTCTGGCCACTGGTCACAGGACACTGCTCTTACCTGGGGCTGAGGAGGGAGCTGCTGACGGCTGACTGTCGAGAGGGGGTCCGCACGGTGTCTGTGGCCAGGGACAGGGAACAGCTCAGCCAGGACTGCAGACTGCCCTCTGGCTGGGAGCTGATGACAGAGATGTTATCCCTAGAAACCGAATGCAGGACATTGTGTTATGGATGACAACCACAGGAATAACTGGGTAATCGTTGCACAGCCCAAACCAGGCACCTGCTAAGTGTACTACACACAAAGCCTCAGCCAGTACCCACAGACAAAAGACTGGCATTGGCCCATTAAACAGATGGAAGTGCTGGCATTTAGAGAGCTTGGTAGGGGTCGCCTGGCTAGTTCATGATGAAGGCTGGATGCAAACTCTGTCTGCTTTTATCCTAACACCCATCCATGAACCACAGCACTCTTGTGGAGACACACATACCAACTGAGATACTGAGGCCTCTCTAACCCAAGGGCACATGTGACACTGAATTTTGCAGCAAACGATAAGTAGATGGTGAAGGACTGCATTCTTCTCTCCTTAGTGGGAGCAGCTGTGTGAATGAAATTACCTTTTTAGGTTCTTTAAGTTTGAAAGTAGCACAAGGTATGTTCTGCATGGGTGCTCTGTGGGTTCTTGCTCTTTGTGCATGTGTGTGTGTGTGTGTGTGTGTGTGTGTACACACATGGGCACAGGTGCATGCATGTGTGCATGTTTGCTTATGTGACACAGGGAAGGGGAGTCATACATATGATCTTGATGCTAACCATGTCCTTAAGATTCCATCCTAGTAGAGCAGACAAATATCTAAGAAGACACGAAATAAAGGCTTAACTGGTATTATGGAGAGGGATGGGGCAGATGCTGAGGTTGCATGACGAGCCTCTATCTGCTTCCTGGAGGCAGAAGGCAGGTGTCAATGAAGCAGCTGAGCTACATCTCTGTGGAAGGTTAGGACTTGGCCACACAGGGAATAAAGACAATTCAGTTGTGGAGAGCAATGTGCACATGGGTGTGGAGTCATGAAAGGTCAGGGCACAGAGTGTGGCAAGCAGGGATCACAGGGGAAGAGGGAATTGAGGGTCAGCACATACAGGAAGCTGATGTCCATCTAAAAAGTCTATTCCAAGGCAATAGGGAGCCATTGAAGGTGATGGAGGATGTGGCACGGTAACACACAGGCTTCTGTCTTTAAATGAAGTCAGAAGTTCCGCAGCTCACTGTCCCTAGAGGTGCATGCTATGCCCATGGAATTAGAGCTCTGGGAAGCATTGCTGGAAGTCCTCCAGGTGCATGTGGCATCTCCCTCACAAATGGCACGCCAGAGGATTGCCTTTGTAAGCTGCCCAGCACTACATGGGGTTTACTTACGTTTCTTTTCTGCTACGGCTGCCACAGTCCACTGCTGTCTGGACACTAGAAGGAGACACAAGAAAGGGTCTGTCATACTTGTGCAGACAGGAAGTTGGTCTCCAACATTACATACACCTGAGTTTGTGTCCCGTTTCCACTCTTTGTTCAGAAGTGACTTGTCCTCTCTGAGGTCCCTACCTTCGTTTGAAACATGGCTAAGTAAGGACACATTAGCCTCTGCCACCATGTCTGTGAAGTGACATGAGTGAACGGACCCTGGTGAAGGGCCAGCATGGTACCTGGTGAATAGACAGTGCTAATTAAATAGGAGCAACCATTACTGAGACTCTTAAAAAAATTACAGGTCATACCACTGGTGTCAATTGCATTGATACTAACAACAAGTAAGGCAGGTGCAGTATATTCTTGGGGGGCTGACAAATCAGACAGGGTAGGGTAGCACACTGGGGCATTGTGGGAAACTCCTGGACTAATTGAATCAGTAGCTATTCTTCAAGGAGAATACATTATCCACACAATCCTACCATCACATCCACCACATCAGCTCTCTCTATTTTAGATGAGGAATCTTACACTCTTGCCCAAGGCCCTGCACTTTGAAGCCCAACTCTTTGTTCCTCAAGGTCACGTTCCTAACCAATGTGTGGCTGTCTGGAAATGGAAATGCAGGCCAGACCACACGCCTCAGCTATCTAAGTTGTCTTAACCTTGAGTCCACAGGCTGAATGTCCGGCCACAGTGTCTGCTGGGATTTGAACAGGTCCAATGAAGATGCGCTTGCTGCTTCTTGTCCCCACACCAAGGACCTGCCACCCCAGAGGCCATTTTTATGCCTCCTTCGCAGCAGACTTCAGTGCTTTGTGGGCTAAGAACAATAATCTTCCCCACCATTCTGCCTGGGACTCACAGACCAGGAGGCATAGGAGACACCTGGTCAGTCCAGGAGGAAGGGATCATTGCACCACAGCCATGGGTCAATTCAACCTGTTACGTGTATTGTGTGTCTATGTATGTGTGTGCATTGTGTGTGAATGTGCATGTGTGTACATGCATGTATATGTGTTAATGTGTGCACATGTGTGCATGTGTGTATGTGCTCACATATATATGTGTGTATATGGATGTGTTCGGTGTACTTGTGTATATGTGTATATGCATGTGTTGTACGTATTTGTGTGTGTGTATATATATCTATATGTGTGTATGCATATGTGGTGTGTCTGTATGTAAATGGATGTCTGCATGTATGTATGTATGTGTTGTATGTATTTGTGTATGTGTGCAATGTGTGCCTACACGTGTGGTGTGTATAATTATGTGTGTGCAAGTGTACATGTATGTGAGTATGTGTTCTGATTTCAACCTTGTTATTCTTTAGAGCTGTTCACTTCATTTTTTGAGACAGGTTCTCACTGACCTGGAACTTGCAAAGTAGGCTAGGCTAGCTCACCAGCAAGCCACAAGGTTCTTTCTGTTCCTGCTCCCCAGGGCCAATACTAGGAGCATGTCCCATTACACTTGACTTTTTGCGTGGTGCTGAAAACCAAACTCGGGGTCTTATCCTTGCACAGCAAGCACTTTACTTGCTGAGCTCTGCCCCAGTGCTTTCCTTTTCCTATGGACACAGTTTTGCTGTGGTTGCTTCTGTGCCACAACAGAACAGGTCATCTTCCATATAGACCATGGAGTCCAGAATGTAAAACATTACTTTTTGGACCTGCAATGGCACAAAAGTATCTTTTGTGAGTGCCCATGTGGAGACAGGATGATAACTCCCCCAAAGTCCACACCTTAATGTCTGATCCCAAAACTCTGGGAAGGTATTCTCATCCCCTCACATCTGGAATCCCCCCTCATGTACTTGGTTCCACTGAACACCAGTATTTACTTGGACAGCACTAGCCCAAGTCTTCACAGTCTAACAGCATGTGCCAATCTTGATCCTAACAGGCCTCTGTGAGGGCTCGGCATTCAAATCCACTACCCTCTGGAAGGGTCTTTTCTATAGCACCTCAGGTGCTGTGCACATGTGCTGTGTACATCATATCTTACTGGCCCACACTTACTGTGCAACACCCTCTGACCTGCTCTGCTGGGCAGCTGTATTTGGATCTGATGACTGCATGAACCCCATCTGTGTGCTTCCAGCCAATGAGAACTCAGCAGACAGTCAAGGGAAGGAGAAAGAGAAGGAGACCCCAGTGTTTATGCCTAAGTCTCTCTTTGCTGCAGGTCATTGGGCTGGGTGGCCTCCACCAAGGCTAGGCCTTCTCCATACAGACCCCCACCACTACTTCACCTTTCCTGTGTCTGCCATCCACAGTTTCTCCCCCCCCCCCCCCCCCCCTCTCTCTCTCTCTCTCTCTCTCTCTCTCTCTCTCTCTCTCTCTCTCTCTCCCTATTCCCCCTCTCTCCCCTCTCTCCCCTCTCTCCCCTCTCTCCCCCTGTTTGGATCCCAGAAGTTTCACCCTCTCTTGCCCCTTCAGATCCCAGTTCTTGGCCATTGTGGGTACTGCTCCCTCCTATAGGTCCCCTACACCACAGCACCATATACAGCTTTGTAAATAGTGCCTTCATTTGGGATTGGCCATCAGGTCCCCAGAAGACTCTATTATGATGGTCCATATCTACAACGGTTTCCACCAGGCGCACCCCACCACTGCACTGTTTAATCCTACTTTTGTGAAAAAAGTTGGTAAAATACCTAAGTTAATCTTCTAGAAAACAGAAGATTGGAAGCCACCATTACTGTCCCCTCAGGAACCAGCCATGCAGGTTCTGGGCAGGCCAAGAACCAGGGGGTCGGGGAGCTATCCATGGTCCTGATCGGTTGGCTCCCAGGTGGGAGCAGAATCCTCATCCCTTGGCTGATGTTGGCAGTTCTTTCTCGGTGCATGTGGCTTTTAAAAAAAGAACCTATGCCAGGAATTTGTAAACAGAGGATTGGTGAGGAGCAAGGTAATTGACTAAATGTCTTCAGATGTAGTCCTTTAGGGTGTGCCTTTACAAGACAGCCACAGTCTGAATGCAAATGCTGCCTGGGAAGCAATGCATGAACTCATTTGCTCCAGGTCTCAGTGACAGACAGAATTTACCATCAGGATGGGTCAATAGACAACAGAGACCTTTATATGGGACAGAGGACACGAGGTGTGTTTGATCTGACAGTAGAGCTGGCTTCTGCTGGTATTGGAGGTGAGGATGGTGAGGCCAGCCAGAAAACCAAGCCATAGCTCCCTTTTCTGTTGGTTAATTTATTTTAGTTTGGGGGTGGGATTTTTTTTTGAGATGAAGTCTCCCTGTAGCCCCAGCTGGCCTGTAACTCACTATGTAGTCCAGGCTGGTCTTGATCTTACAGAGATCTGCTTCCTGAGTGCCAGGATTAAAGGTGCTCAACAGCACACCTGGCAACATAGCCCCATCTATGGAGGCAGACTCCAAGCTTCAGTTTCCTCATCTGTAATCTGGGAATGAAGAGAAGAGACCCACAGGCCTGTGGGACATTACATGACAAGCAGTAGTAAGTGTCCTCTGGAAAGGGCACCAGCTGTCACGGTCATCCCTGTACCTGCCCTGCTGTAAGCAGATGGCATGAGTAGTTAGAGCTCTGACTCCTCATGGATCCCATCAGCTGGGTATCAGTTAGAATCAAGTTCAGAAAGTCAGGCCACCTGCACAGCATCCTTTAAACCTGTTACCCAGCACTGGGGCCCTGTGCTGTGACTCTAAATGGGCATCAGCCTTCACAGATGAATGGAGAACCCATCTAAGCTATTCTTGCAGGTGAGGCATGCTCTTCACTCGTGGGGTCCAACTAAAAGGAAAAAGCTGCCAGGAAAGGACTGTCCTCTTATTCGGCAAGGAACTTTACAGCCTGGCCAGAGCCTGGGCTCACCAGTGAGCAATGACCTCAGAATTTGTCCTCAGAATGGTGGCCAATCTCTCGGTCTACCCAGATTATGTCTCTTCCTGCAGCCTGACATTAGCCAGGTTATTAGAGGCCATGTTGGAGAACGCCCAACTTCTACTCAATGCCAGACACTAAGGACACACACTTCAAGAGTGCTCATCTCAGATGGGCCCAGCTGGAATGGATGTACTTTTATCTGTGGCCCAGAAGTCAGGGGTCACCCACGCTCCCTCCACCCCCCTCCAGTCAGGGTCCCCCTGCAGCCTAAGTGACAAGTAGAGCAACTGCAGACTCTGGGGCCAGGAATAGATGAGGCCGCCTGTCAGCCAATGCAGTCCTCCTTCCATGACTAGTGAGCATGCTCCAGGCCCCGGGGACTGACAGAAAGCATCCCCTCCATTAATCCAGGAAGGTCGGTGACACAGCCTAACTTACAAGGCCCTGGTACAGGGTGATGTGTGCACCTAGATGCTCTTGCATGGGCCAACTGAATTTCTGAGCACGTAGCTATTTCTAGCCTCCAAGGCCTGTTACATTAAGAGCTAATTCCCAACATGGGAAAATGGGACTTGACATAATCTGAACAAGTCTCTCAAAAATTCTCATCTGGATTCTCTCTCTCTCTTGCTCTCTCTCCTCCATACCCCCAGTGGTCTGAATCCTAATTGAGAGCTCACTCTAAAGAAGTATCTTGGACCAGTCCTTCAGGCTCCAATCCAGACCTCTTACTTGAGAAGACAAGATAATTGGGATTAGGCACAACATGCAGTCTGGAGCGCCAACATGGGGAAGAGCCGGGGCTGGCGCCGGGCAGGAGCTGCTCTGCTCTGTGTAGCAGATCAACAACCAACCATGAAACACATGATAAACAGCATGTATGTACACTATTCCTTGAAACAAGTCAGGATTTCTCTGTAGGCTTCTTTTCCCAGTTTCCCAATGTCTGGGGTTCTGTGAGACTAAGGAACTGAGGGTCTCAGTGGGTTTTGACAGAACACTGAGGAGAAGAAAAGTGGGAGATGAAGGGAGGAATGTGGAGAATGAGATAGGAGGAAACAGGTGGGTCTTTTCAGTGGTCCTCACTTGGGGACTTGTCACCCTTTGAATGGGAAATGCTCCTACGGGGTGATGCATTTGACTTTGTCCTTAGATGATGGTGCTGTTTGGGGAAATTGTGGAGCCACTGAGCCCTGACAGAGCTGGTGGGGTTGAGTTACTGTGGGGATGGCCTTGAAAGTGAAAATCAGCTTCTGGTTCCAACAAACTCTCTGCCTGCTGGTCTACCAGGATGTGAGCTCACCAAGCTGTAGCTCACACTCCTTCCCACCGCCATGATCCCCACCCCAAGGAACTGCGGACGTGTGTTCTCAAACCAGGTGTAGCCTGGAGACTGGGGAGGTAACTCAGTCCACAGAGAGCCATGCAAACAGGAGGACCTGAGTTTGATTCTCAGAAGCCGTGTGAAAAAAGCCGTGTGCTGTGGAGCGTGCTTGTAATCTCAGAACTGAGGAGGCTCAGATAGGTGGATCCCTGGGGTTCTCTGGCCAGCCAGCCTAGCTTACTTGAGCTCCAGGCCAATGAGAGACCCTGCCTCTAAAAACAAGGGCAGCTCCTGAGGAATGACCATCAAGGTTGTCTTCTGACCTCCACATGCACAGCATGCACACACATATGTATGCACCCGCCCAGCACACACAGATATGCGCGCACGCGATGATCCCCACCCCAAGGAACTGCGGACGTGTGTTCTCAAACCAGGTGTAGCCTGGAGACTGGGGAGGTAACTCAGTCCACAGAGAGCCATGCAAACAGGAGGACCTGAGTTTGATTCTCAGAAGCCGTGTGAAAAAAGCCGTGTGCTGTGGAGCGTGCTTGTAATCTCAGAACTGAGGAGGCTCAGATAGGTGGATCCCTGGGGTTCTCTGGCCAGCCAGCCTAGCTTACTTGAGCTCCAGGCCAATGAGAGACCCTGCCTCTAAAAACAAGGGCAGCTCCTGAGGAATGACCATCAAGGTTGTCTTCTGACCTCCACATGCACAGCATGCACACACATATGTATGCACCCGCCCAGCACACACAGATATGCGCGCACGCGCACACACACACACACACACACACACACACACAGTGCAAACTTGTAGGAGAAAGAAAAATCTCCTACACAGGGCGCTGGGAAGGTTAGTGTGTCTATCTGCTCATTGCAGAGACTTTAGAAAATATAAATAAGTTCAAAGAAAAAAAGAACACGCGCCTTTCCTTTCCACCGTGGCCGGGCTTTGGGCTCTTTCCTTGCTCATTCTTCTCCATGATGCATGCTCATTTCTAACCAGATGACTCACTCTTCCCATTTTCTAAACCAGAGTGGACCCACGCCCCTCTCGGCCTGCCTTGCCTGTCACCCCTGCATGTCCAGCCAGAAGAAGCCCCCTGGTCACCTCTTAAGAGAGTCGAAAAGAACAAGGTAGGAAATTCAGTGGGCTTGAGTCCAACTGTATGCAGAGCAACTTGTTGTGTGACCTTGAATGCCTCCCAAGGTCGGCATCCAGAAAGAGCTGCACCCCAAGGTCTGAGGCCTGCCTGCTCTGACTTCAACCCAGATCTGTCTTGCCAACACAGAAGGGGAAATGGACCAGACTGGCAGGTTCCCGGTGCAGCACGCAGGTGGAGGGCAGCGGGTAGGCAGGAAGGAGGCCACATCTACAAGCCGCTTATATTAAGGCTATGCAACAGAGAATGTCTCTCTCTGATGCCAGGCTTTTCTACAGAGGTTGTGATGGGACAGAGACGCTGCAGGAATACGCACAGCTGTGCTGGCAGGAGAAGAAACACGTTTGAGTCCTCCGCAGAGGCTGGACGGACTAGGTCTGGGTGTCCCTTTGGGATACCTCAAGCTCCTTCCAGATGAGCAACTCACCAGTGGCCTGTAACAGCTCATAACTGCAGAGGAGATGACGGAAAACAGCCTTTGTCCCAAGAAAGGAGAGAAGCCCTGGCATCAAACTTGGGCGATCTTGAGGATTGTGCCCACCTTGAACTTGTGTCCTTGGAGCAGCCTTTGCCTTAGTAAAACAGCACTAATTATTCTGTACAAGCAGCTACTTTTACACAGTCAGCACTGATCTTACAGAGCTCATCGAACCCTACCAGCCCCACAGAGCAGGCACAAGCAGAATTCTGAGTGTTGAATATGTGCAGTTGGCTGCTGATGTGCCCCAGACAGTCCCATCTTAATGACGTCATATGGTCTGTCCCAGTTGTATTTTGCCCACTTCACAAGTGATGAGTTGGACCCTGCTTGAATGTGGCATGTCCCCCTTCCACAGGCTCACGTGTCTCAACACTTGGTCCCCATCTAGTACTGCTAGATGGGAAAGTCAGGGAAGCTTTGTGGGAGAAGCACAGATACTGCAGGTGGCTCACTGGAGGTGGGACTTCGACGGTTCTAGCCCCCTCTGCTCACTGGAGGTGGGACTTCGACGGTTCTAGCCCCCTCTGCTCACTGGAGGTGGGACTTCGACAGTTCTAGCCCCCTCTGCTCACTGGAGGGGCGCCCTGCACGGTCCTCGTCCACTCTCGTCCCTGGAGGAGGGACTTCGACGGTTCTAGCCCCCTCTGCTCACTGGAGGTGGGACTTCGACGGTTCTAGCCCCCTCTGCTCACTGGAGGTGGGACTTCGACGGTTCTAGCCCCCTCTGCTCACTGGAGGTGGGACTTCGACGGTTCTAGCCCCCTCTGCTTCTGGCCTTAACTCTCTGCTTCCTCATCTTTCAAGACTGGACCAAGGCTACCTACAAGCTCCTGTCTCCACAGGCTGAGCCACCCGACACCATGCGTTCCCACCACAATGCCATGTCACACCATGACATGCTGTGCCCCTGAAATTTAAGCTAAAATAAGCCCTCTTCCCTTAAGTTGCTTTCATTGGGTTCTGTGTCATAACAACCAACACAGTGACCATCGCAGATGCAGAATGGACAAGCTGCTTTCCCAAGATCACACGCCTGGCTTCTCTTCCCAGCCTCAATGTCTCGCTCATCAGTAAGCCAGGTCTGGTGGCTTCTGATACTCAAATAGGACATTAGTAACAGTGAACCTCTCTGTCCCCAACTCTTGGACACATTAGGTTCCCCCAGAAGATATGACCTCAGGCCCACTGAGTACTACAGGGATCTGAAGAGCACAGCCCAACCTGCCATCAACCGTCACCTCTCAGTGTCGCTGTCGCTGGATGCCACCTCTTCCAAGGCTGCCTGCAGGTCTGCAATCCGCCGGATAGAGGTCTCCAGGTCTGTCTGCAGTGTCTGCCTCATTGCTGCCAGCTCCTCCACGCACTTCTCCTAGAGACATAGACACAGAACCCGTCGATCTTGAGCAAGAACCCTACACCACTCCTGAGTTCCTAGGGAGGAGACATCGTGCGCAGAGCCTGGAGTTCCTAGCATACATCCTCCAGAGGGCTCTCACTAGGTGGGTGAAGTGAGAAGTCCTGGGGCCCCTAGGCAGGTGCTCAGTGTTCCACAGAGAAGGGAACAGGCTTTTGGGGACCCCTGAGCATGCAGAGCTGGCTCACCCATGCAAGGTTATTCTGTCAGTGTGTCTGAGCCCAAAGCCATGCTCAGATTCCACACCACTGGGTGTTCAGGGGTGCTTGGCCATCTTAAATGGTAAATGTACAAAACAGAGATAAGGCCAGAGGTTCCAGGGGATGTCTAGAGCTAGGGATGGAGCTTGTGGGAGAGGTTTGGGGGAGCATGGAGCAGGGCTCTGCCACCCTGCCACCCCCAACTTCCTGTCTCAGCAGCCTAGACAGCCTGGGATACCCCAATAGAGCCTCCTGCAGAATGGCAAACACTGGCATTTATGGGGTGTTTTCTGTGGCCAGCACTGGGTACAGGTGCTGAGGTCTTGTTCAGTGTCCAATAGCCGGACAGGTGAGTCATGACCATGGCTCCCACTTCACAGTTGAGCAACAGGAGACCTTGGGAAGGGAGGACTTCGAAGCAGTGCTAGAACTTGAGCTCAGTGCTCCTCAGTCCCTTTGTGGTGACCATTCAACTGTGCTCAGTACTCCTTGGTACTACCATGACTCAGTTTTGTTGTGACTCTTTGGACATCTCTGATGTACATGACCCACCTGTTCTTTCCATTTGCCCTCTAACACTATGCTCTTTGGTGGAAGGTGACTCTGCCCCGAGGATATTTGTCAAAGTCTGGGGACAGTGTTGCTTACCACAGTGTGGACCATGCGACTGGCATGTTGTGGGTTGAGGTGGAGATGCTGTATTACCTCATAATACAAGAGACATCCCTCACCTGGCTGCACCCAGAGGAAATGAGTCCCACAGGGGACCAATGAGAAGGCAAAGGGAGTTCTAAAGAGGAGGCTACTCTGGGCCTCACCACCAATGAAGCAGAGAAGCGGAAAGCTGCACCCAGCAATGGGGTGGGGCAGGGAACTACAGCCTGGGGCTCTGACACAACTGCACATTACAGCAAAATGTAAAACTAAGACCGAGGCAACGTGGGGCAGCACAGAGGACCGTCATTCGGCATGTATGTCAACACCCACACCAAACACAGACGCTCAGCCACACACCACACACACACCACACACACACCACACACACTCAGCCACATACCACACACACTCAGCCACACACAGACACAAAGACACGTACACCACACACACACACACACACCACACAGACACTCAGCCACACACAGATACACAGACATGCACACCACACACACACACCCCACATGCACACATACACACACACACACACACACAGATGGGGGTGGGTCCTCAGGGTGCTTATGGGTGAAGTGAAACAGGGTCACAAGTGGAATTTTTATCTTAAGTTCTAATTATGTAAAGTTTTCTTTTGGACAGTTATTTAAAGCAACACACATATGACATGATGTGACTGAGTGAGGGAGATGGAAATTAAGGGTCAGATCTGAACATAGTTCCTGGCCCCTCATCAAAAACACCAGCTGTGTGACATGAACAGCTCTCAAGATCTCTCTAAAGAAACAAGGCCAATGACATCACACGGAGCCACAGAGCCAGGACTTGAACCCCCAGTTCAGTGGTCTTCCTGGGGTCATGAGTGTGCCCCAGAGGAAGCCAATGAGGACATTGCTGCTCCCCATCACAGGGATGTGCTCAGTGTTCCTCCGCAGATTGGCCTGTCCATTCTGGTTATTATGAGCTGGTACTTCATAAATGGTGTGAAGTCTTTCTGACAGGATTGGCCAGAGCAGTCGTCAAGCTTAAGCCAGGACAGGGTAGTGCAGAGTTGATGAGGAGAGAAAGAGTGTGGGCAGAAGCAGAAGTGTGAGCAGGCTGGCATGGGCAGGGCAGGGATACGCAGGGGAGGCATGGGCAGCTGGTTTGGACAGGGCAGGCATGGGTAGGGTAGGCATACATTTCAGCTGAGGCTGTCCACTGTGAAATGCCTACCTCAGAACTGACTAGTGGGAAACACACTGAGGTCCAGCCCCAGATTAAGGACAGTAAGCTGTCAGAAAAAGTAAAGGACACCAGGGGCTGACAGCAGCACATCAGTATAGACACAATTAGAACTCTGGTTGGGGTTGGGGAGAGGGACAGAGACAGGTGTTCTGTCTCGGGATGGGTGGGCCAAGACTAAGCAGGTAGGCAGGAGGACAGAGACCTGAACTGAATTAAATCTACAATCTCACGGCAGTGACTATAGGATCTGGAGGTCGGTTTGAATCTCAACTCTGCTGCTCACAGGCTGTGTGACCTTTGGCAAGTTACTCCACCTCTCTGACCTTCTGTTGTCTCATGGATGAAGTGGGGCCAGTGGTCATCCCTCCTGATAATAGTGAATTAGTTCAGGGGAGCAGGAAGGCTCAACCAAGTGTAGTGGTGTTGTTGCTGTCATCAAATTCCCACAAGAAGAACCTTGGAGTGTCTTCCATGTGATTGGGAAGTCATTTCAAGGTCACACCGGGAATAAGGAGCTGGAACGTGGGAGTCTGACTTTAAAGCAAAGAAAAGCCATGGATGGAGCATAAGGACAGCCTGGGGGAGGGACTAACTAGACAGAGCCAGAAGAGCTGAGGATAGACGGCCATCCTGTGAGGAAGGGTCTGTCACTACCCCACCTTCATCACCTCTGCCCTTGCCTCTCATCCTCTTCTAGGGGACAGATGAGCCCCAGTCAGCAGGAGTACTCCAAAGAGGGGCCCAGGGAGCGAGGGCCTGCCTAATCAGCAATCAGCCAAGCTTTCCTGCCCCGGCTGGAGACCAGACAAGTCTGCTGATTGCAGAGACGAGCCATCAACCCAGTGCCCAGCAGTTGGCCTGGGGCAGACCAAACAAGGCCCTCAGAGACCCCAGAGAGGCAGAAAGGGAGCGGTTGGAGGCAGCAGCTCAAGCTGGGGACACCAGTCTCCCCACACTTTTATGCAGCAGATGGGTGCCATTACATCCCATCACACCTGGGCTTGGTTCTAAGGCAGGCGGCTTGGGTAGTGTGGAGAGGCTCAGGGGTGGAGACAGCCTAGGAGACAGGACTATCTAGGTGGTCAGGTGATACACAGCAGAAACCCATGAAGAAACCCACTAAGCTCCCGGACATCTCAAACAGACAGTGATATTAACGCTGTGGCAGACAGACAAGCTTACACACATGCCTGTGTGTACTGTAGACTTCCGCACCAGCCATTCATGCACACATTCATTCAGTGCACATTTATTGAGCACTCGCTGTGTGCCAGCACTGATCTAGGCCTGAGCTGTGTAAAGCTCTCCCTCTACTCACATTACTACAGGCACCTGGTACACAGCAAGCAGAAACACGTTTAGGGTGGAGCGAGCCGGTGTCACTGTGACTGTCAGTGACAAATGAAAGATCGACAGGTGTGACGCGCACTCACCGGTGCATGGGAAATACTCATCATGTTTACAGAGATAGAAACAATACCGCATGGCGTGCACGGCCTTCCCAGCATCGCTTGTGGGAGTCAGGAGCGCTGCAGGCTCCCAGGCTGCTCCCCCAGGAGCACACCACGCATAGTCGGCCGAGTGGGAAGCAGTTCATAGGATAATTAATGGCTGCAATTAAGAATGTTTCCGCTCATGATGTTCAATTAGAGGCTAATACTGAAAGTGTTTGTTGTTTGTTTTCTCCTCCGAGAGCACTCTGATGTTCGGAGGATTTTCCCGTGCCTGCAGGTGCATGGGAGCCTCAGGAGCAGGGTCCAACCTTCCAAGACTATCAAAGTTCCCTGTGCAACGTAGTCTACACAATGGAGCAGGAGATCTCAACACACTCTTGGAACTGGACCCATCTTGCTGTAAAGACAAAAGCAGATTTCCCAATGTCTGACACAGGCTTGCTTCAGAAATATAAAGTATGAAATTATGACCACCTGTGCAATCAGCCATTGGCAAATCTTTATAGCTTCAACTCTGTGGCCCAGGCTGGCCTGGAACTTTCATCATCCTGCCTCAGTCTCCCAAGTGGGATTATAGGCCTGTGCTATCAGGCCCAGTTTCTGTTTCAACTAAAAGAAAAGAACTCAGGGTTGGAGAAATGGCTCAGTGGTTAAGAGCACTGGCTGTTCTTGCAGAAGACCTGAGTTCAATTCCCAGCACCCATTTGGAGTCTAACAATCGCCACTAACTCCAGTTCCAAGGAATCCAATGCCCTCTTCTGACCTCTGTACACATTGCATGACACAGGTGCCCTTTACTTATCCAGGCGATACACTCACACACATAAACACACACTTAAATTTCACATAGACCAGAGAATCTCAAAACATCCCTAAAATATACTGGAAATACATGGAGTGTTTTCATATATGTAACACAATAAATACTTGAATATACACAATAAAATTAATTGATTAATTGAATTAATTAAATGAAAATACCGACTTATAGTTCTCACAGTGACAGGTGTTCTAGCATAAAATAGCTTATCTCACTTAATATTAATGAGTCTTTCGAGTCAGCCACCATGGACATAGAGTATAAGGAGACTATTGCAATAAATCAGCAGCACTGGTTATTATCTCTGTTATGAGCTACCAAGCAATATTTACTTTTCCTTTTATACTTCTCCAAATTTTCTGTAAAGAATATGAATTCATTTTATTATGAAAAGGCTGAGAAATAGGGCTTTGCTTTTCTCATCCACAGCAACGAAGAAGCCCCTCACCCACCTGCTCAAGAGTGAGAGTCCACCATCAGCAGAATGAGTCAGGGAGCATGTGGCCACCACTCCAAGAGGTCCTTTCTCTTAATCATCCTGAAAACTCATTACTTTATTATATTTTCGTGGTGTGATAATAAGCA